CTAAAATGAAAGTATTTTAGTCGAGGCTTATAGACATTACACTTTATTTTAGGATAATGTTTAATTTCGAACAGTTTCGATTTAAATTTTGTTGCAGGCCTTTAATTTTAATTTGTGCTTCCCTTAAAAGAAACCAACCTACGGACTTAAAATGTGTGTTCTTTTGACATACTGCAGAGGGTGCCAAGGCACAGAACATCGTTGCCAGTTGAGCACATGGGTGGTTCACCCGGGATGTCAGAGTTAGCAGATGATGGAAAAGGGACTGATTTAAGTAAGGTAAACTCATCTATTTTTGGATCTGTTTTAGTTTGAACTGATTAACTACAAATATGGCACTTAAAATATTTAAATTTTGTCTTCGTTTTGGTCCTTGTTCATATGTATTATATTTTTAAGACGCCGGAGTCAAAAAGATTAAAACCAAGCAAATAAAGAATGGGAATATTTGGTATATTTATCCAAATTGATGTTAGCAAAATGCAAATTACAAATTATTACGAAATGTCTTCTGAGAGACGTATGCTTTATAATTACAATTACAAAATGTCTTCTGAGAGACGTATGCTTTAAAAAAAAAATACACATTACACTGAAGTCGGGCTGAGACACCAGCGTTGTCTCGAAGCTCAGGCTTGACACAACACGTAGTCACAACCAATTAAAGGGACAATGAACAAGCACAAACGTGTTTAATATTCCTGTTTTATTTGTCCCACAGTGTTACAACAGCGAAGTACAGTACATATAATAAGGCGAGTTTGTGGATATAAATCACATTAGATATAGAAAAACTCACATACCGTGTGTACAGTGATTGCGCATATATAGCAGTGATGTACATAGAATAAATATAAATATTTTCCACTGATTTGTGTTAAAGATGGATTTGCAGTATGACTCCACATTTTTGACATATCAATATGGAAAATCTAAGTATTATCTGTTTGTTTGAGTTAATTGCATGCAAAATTTAAAATTCAGTATATAGAATTTGCACCTGAAACCTACTACCTAGTGAATGGAAGTGATTGAAGATCTAAAATGTTATTAAGAAACTTCTCATATGTTCTTTATTCATGTCTGTTTTTACTTTAATTTTTTTTATTTATACACACAAACAAATTCTTTCACGTTAATTACATTGACGTCATTTCCTCTTCCTGGTTTGCATGCCAAGCAAGAGCTTTTAAATTATACCGGAAATGCGCGCTCTTATTTTATAAACAAACATTTGGTCGTCCTCGAGTGTGTGTGGGTGTCACAAGGGGAAAGATAACTTGACACAAACAAACTTTTAAACGTTTAAACTAAACAACAACGCAGTTGTATGTGATGTTCAGCCATTTTATGGACACTAGTGTGTTAGTTGTTTTATCGATAAACTTTTTTTGGCGGCAAGTTAACCTGTTAGCGTGTGTTTAGTGCTGCGGTCCAGCGTTTTCATCTCTGTGGACACTCAATGCACAGCGGATGGCTCGTCCATAAAAGACAACTGTTTGAAAACTCGAGGTAAGAATTAAACTTTGAAGCTGATTTTCTGTTATTGCACGTAATTTTATTTGTTCAATTGTACAGTCTGGTTTTCGTTCGGATTAAATGTCATTTCTTCTGAGTTGACTGTACTGATACCACAACATTGTTGCTGTTTTGGTAATGTCTATTTTACTTCTTTCCGCACACATCTACAAATTCTTCTGCATTAACGATAATCTAGACTACATGGCCTTTAAATTTGTCATTTCCTCGCGATAGTTTGTGTATGCGTAACAAGAGACGGCGTTTAAATTAAACCGGACTTTTTTTTTAGAATTTAGAATTTAGAAAATAGCTTTAAATTATCTTAGCATTAGTGCTAAAATGTCCTGCACAATTTCGGCTAAATTCTGCCAAACAATGTAGCAATAAAAGTACAGTGCCGTACAGTTCGGGAACAGTTGGTACATCTGAAGCAGAATATATACCGATTGTTAGCCAGAAGTTATTTGATTGGAAAAGCACTAAAATGGAGTAACATTATCGTTCAGTTAGCAAAAACTGTCTTCTCCATTGCTTTGACTTTAACTTGAATCTGTTATATCTGCAGGAGGAGCTGACAGGCCAGGCAAATCCAGTAAGAGTTGCTCCACGCGCTGTGGTCCCAGCTTCAGCCTGAGGAGGGCACCAAGGACTGCACCAAGGACTGCACCAAGGACTCCACCAAGGACTCCACCAAGGACTCAATGTTTCTCCCAGGAGAAGCTCCACATGACAAGCAACAACCTGAAGATGCTGC